CTGAACCTAAGATCTAAACCCTACAACCCTATAACCCTAAAACCCTAAACTCTAAGACCCTAAACCCTAAAAACCCTAAAACCCTAAAAACCCTAAAGCCCTAAAACCCTAAAACCCAAAAACCCTAAACTCCAAACCCAAGTGTGCGCAGGCCTGAGGAGGGTCACGCCATGGCAAGGCTCCTGGGTGCTCCAAGGGGTTTGTAGGCTTAAGGTTGGTGGCTATGTAGGAATATATAGGAATATGTAGGAATATATAGAAATATATAGGAATATATAGGAATATATAGGAATATACAGGAGTATATAGGAATATAGAAGAATATAGAGGAATATATAGGGATATATGGAGACATATGAGGATATAGGGGGATATATAGGCTTTAGGGTTTAGGGTTTAGCAGGGGTTAGGGTTTAGGGTTGAGGGTGTGGGGTTGAAGGGGATGTAGGGATTTTGTTGTGCGCTTGTCTGCTGGTCTTGGTCAGTGAAGTTGGGTTTCGTCTCCTAATATCCGTGGGTGTATATCTGGCCTATTCTCTGGTGGCACCATCAAAATACCCTAAACCCTAACCCTACACGTTGCTTGTCGTTTGCAACCATGTTGGGATCCTTGGGGTACGTGGAGCTTCAGGGTATCTATGACCTACACATACTTGTAGATATAACCCAAATATGAGTCCCCGAGTCCTGTAATAAGGTTATCATTGGGTTATGACATAGTAGTTTCCATTTTCTTTTCCATTATCCCTATATATCCCCAATATACCATAGTAGTTTCCATTTTCTTTTCCATTATTCCCATATTACCCCAATATAGCTAAATTGGTAATAGTTGCCCTGAACCGGGGACTTAAGTCCTCGGAGCCATTGTGCTCGAGCGTGCGTTGTGCTTTCTCCGATCAACACGTTTCCTGTAGGTACCTAGACATGCGACATGGCCGCTTCATTCTGTGACACTGCTTTCAGCGTAGCCTTCACACGCAGACGTTGCCTAGAGAGGACATCAACTCCACTGTTCCAGAAGCGTCTGGTACGTTTACAAGTTGAAGCTGACAGCCGCAGGCAGTTGGAAAGGCAGTACTTCTCCCAGTTCAAGGCTCACAACCTTCCTCGTCCTGGTCTCAGTGTCTAGTGCGCATCTTGATGCAGGTGCTTGGGGGCAAGCAGATGCCCGAGCCGACGTGAACAGCTTCTGCGGCATGCATCTTGCGAAATGAGACCTGCACGTTTCACCGCCGTTGGACCAATGCAGCACCGCTCGGGTCTTGCCAACACGGTCGAACATGATTGTGCGCTGCTTCAGAATGCTTTGCTTTCATGGGATCTGTCATTCAATGCAGGTTGTTGCGGAGGACATCACCTTCTGGCACGTTCCTGGAAACAGGGGGCACGCCTGCTTTGCATTCTGGAAGTTCTGTGTTGCCGTTGCAACGTGTTCAGGAAGCCATTCAACCCGCAGGGGCTGGAAGGCAATGTAGTGTTCTGGCTGCATGTGGCTTGGGATTCTGACTTTAAGTGCCAAGCAGAAGGGGGCCTTTGCCGTCAGCTACTTATAGAAAGGGCGATAGTACCTCAATATACCATATAGTCCCCATTCTAGGTATCCACTAGAAGGGAGCCCTACTTATTGAAAACCCCCGTATAAAGTTTATAACCCTAAGCCCTAAACCCTTAGCCCTTAACCCTAGCCCCTAAACCCTAAACCCTTAACTCTAACCCCTAAACCCATAAAGGTTCCCCCTATATTTAGTCTTGAAGCTGAGGTTTCGGTCATTGAAGACATTCACCTGACACCCAATCGGCCAATTCTGGTCAAGCTCACCAAGGCATTGCCACGCGATTTAGGGCTTAGCGAGGGTTTAGGGTTTAGGGTTTAGGGTTGGGGGTTTCCCAAAATTAGGGGTACCCTTTTGGGGGTCCCAATAATAAGGACTATAGTATTTTGGGGGACTATATTGGGGTCCCCTTACTTTGGGAAACTACCATTTAGGGCTTAGCGATCCAAATGCGGAAGTCTGAACAGCGGACAAGAATCTCGAGGGGTAAGCTGACTATGTAAGTCATTTCCATTTCGTGGCCCATTCCCTTGAGTCTCCGATCCCTGAACCCTCAAAAGCAGTTGTTTCACCCAGCAGGCGCCTGGACAGGAGGAGGGCTTTAAGGCTCGGCAGTTTGTCTCAAGCATTCACCCACTCCCCTGATAATGGCATTTCCGTCATACTAGGGTTCATTCTACTATAAAATGATATGTTTCAATATCATCAGCTGTCGTAACATGCCTGTTTATACTAGAATACATCATAGTACACACTAGTATTTTGAGAACATCTTATAACCTGCCATATTGGGAACATACTCTGCTTGAGGAGTGATTTATCTGAACTGCCCAAGGCTTTTCCAGCGCATTTCTCGCACGACGAGCTTCTTAGGTTGGACGAAGCAGCGTCGCAGAGTCAGGAGATTGGAACTGAATACGGGGTACCGTTACAGGGGTATTTAGGGGTATGAAGGGATATGTAGTATGAGCCCCTTTGAGGGAGTTATATGGAGATTGTATAGGGTTTAGGGTTTGGAATGATGGAGAATCACATGGAACGTGAAATGGAAGCGGGGACTCTGGAGAGTCACATGGTAGGTTTTGAAAAATTATGGTTTCTGTTTTCGGTTTCTCTACACGGGGGCCACATCATACTAGGGGCTCAAAGAGGCACCACAATTCTAACGACCCACCACATCGTTCCTGGACTCTTCTGGCTGCTCGCATCTGTAGATTATAGCTGACCTCTTCAGAGCCGTCAGCTGTGTCTGTCTGTCTCCAGGGTATTCAGAGATTGTGCACATGTTATCCAGCAAGTGCATGGACTGAGCGCATGGTTCTTAGTCTTGGGTCAATCACAAAACCGACTCTCTCGTTTACCTTTTATCAACAGGCACTGTCGGAACACAAGGCGCAAGATCAGGCAAACACATAGATGTCAGTCACCACTACGACATCGACGAGTACAGCAGAACATTGGCGCACTAGCTGGCCGCACTACGTTTGCACGGATGCAACGAGACAACTTGTTTCAGTCGCCAGCGCAGACATGCTGCCAGCAAGCAGTCAGCATTATCTTGACCAGTTGTCAGCCCACACTGCTACATGCTGAGCAAGGCCTGTTCAGCAATGTTTCGCCCAAGTTTACGTAGGCGTTCATCAAAACAGAGCCGAGTCTGCAACATATTCCATGAAATGCACTTTGACACTCAATAGCGTTGATGGCTTAGGCATTGCACCTTCAGCGATGAGTAAGTTTTTTCCGAAAATTACGCTGCACCATCATGGCCATGGGCTTGAGAGCCTGGCAAGCTGCGTGCTGAGCGAACAGCGCCGGAAAGCGACACGGCTGCCTTTTTTTGGGCTGATGTTACGGAACTTACATGTACTTGCCATGCCATTGATATGTGGAAGTTTCCCAAAATAAGGGGACCCGAATATAGACCTCCACCCACAAATACTATATGGTAGTCCCTCCCTAATATAGGGACCTCTCAAAAAGGTACCCCTATTTTTGGGAAACTCCCATATAGTTCCTCATCGTGGTAGCCTAACTGAGTTCCTTCGCAGCAAGAGTCTTGGACTGAGGGAGGCGTGGCAGTCATGACCTAAACAAGAGACTGTTGCAACTCCTGTGTCTGCGGTTTAGGGGGGGTTCAGGGTTTTAGTTTAGGGTGTTTGACAAATGCTGAAGACCACTCAGGAAAAGCTTCTTCAATGAGTTTGTCTTTCCAAGGAAAAGGAAAAGGCATGGCTGCAAAAAGTAATTCGCCATGTATACATGTGGTAGTTTCCATACATAGAGTGACCCCAATACAGACTACCCCAAAAATTCGAGTCCGTATTACGGGGGCCCCCAAAGAGATACTCTTAATGTTGGGAAACCCCCATGTGTTTACAGAAGGTTTAGGAGGGCTTCAGGCTAGGCAGTTGTTGAATAGCTGCCGTGGAGTTTCGGATGGAAATGACACAACCACCACAGTACTTGCGGATTTCCACGTCCTAAATCCTAAGCCCGAAGCCGTGTGGCATTGCCTCTGAGCTCTCCTTCTTTTGCTGCAGGCGGTGATGGACCGTGGGGCGGCCCTATGAAAGGTGGCCCAGACTGGGGTTGGAAAGGCGACTGGAAGGGAGACTGGAAGGGCGGCTGGAAGGGCGGCTGGAAGGGCGACTGGAAAGGCGACTGGAAGGGTGATTGGAAGGGCGACTGGAAAGGTGGCAAAGGCTGGCCCGCACGCGCTTGGGAGTAAGTTTCTAGCTCCTTTATAACCCCTAGATAACCCCTACATAACCCCAATA